GGTGCGGCCGGCGGCGCTGCTGCTCGACGAGCCGCCGCGGCAGCGGTGGCCCTCCCAGGCGGTCCTCGTCCGCGCGCCCGACCTCGCGCGCCGCCTCACGGACAGTGTCGTCTGCAACGCGGCCGAGCCGGAGGGCGGCTCTGCGTACGGCTCGCCGGACGGGCGGCTCAAGCCACGCGCGGCACGCGAGGCGGCTGCCTCGCGAGAGGCGGAGGCGGCGGAGCAGGAAGACTGCCTCGGCGCCTGAGACGGGCTCCGCGCACGAGGCTGGCTCGGCGCACGGGGGGCCTATTTGGGTGGTCGTCAGGGCTGCGCTGCACCCGCAGATGTCTGGAGCTCGGCTCTCCCTCTGCGACTCTGCACGCTGGTATGCGATGCCACGGTGATGGACGCGACTGTGACGACGTCTCTCTCAGCGACGAATTGCTTCAAGCACACACCTTTCTTCTCCTCCTATCTCTCTGGCAGTACTCTTCCGGGTTTGCACAGGTGTCAGTGTCAGGTGTCCGGGGTGCTTTCTCTTTTGTCACACTTCGTGTATGTGTTGCGGTGTGCGTGCTCGCGTGCAGCTTGGGGGAGTGGCGCGTCGCCATCGGGAGAAACCATGCACGGGCCGGCCTGCGTGTGCGCTGATTAATTTATATTCATATTCTGACACCCCACACATGGGGCGGACTGTGAGTAGTGTGTAGTGAGACATAACCCGCCGTTCCGTGAGCGTGACCTCCCGCGCCAGCCGCTCGCCACACGCCAGCGAGGTGGGTCCCTGATGCGCCGCCCGTCGCCGCGTCGGTCGACGCCCTCGCCCCTGCGCTCCACCAACGACGCCGTCGCTGTCCTCGCCGACGTGACCGTGATCGCCATCCGAGGCCGCCCATTCCGCCAAGCGCCAATGGATGCACAGCCGAGATGCAGTATCCAGTAACCGAGCTGTCCCCCCCTCGGACACGTCCCTCCCTGTGCTGTCCTCTCCACTCGTTCCTCTACTTACACACATATGTCCCGCGAGATATGTCCCCTAAATCCCATATCTCGTCCTTAGTCCGCTCTCACGTCTCAGAGTTTTGAGCCTTTTGCTTTTCTTCATTTATTTTACACATTTCACATTACGGGAGAGAGAGGACCAGGACGCCAACCACACGAGCTCACGAGGCGGCCATCGGAATGAGAGTCAGAGAGAGAGCTGAGCGGAGTGATTGTACCCCCCCCGCCGCCGCCGCTGCTGCCGCGCGGG